AAAAGAAGAAATCATTAACTTCCTTGAGCAAAACAACAGTGAAGACACAAGCTACCAAAACCTGTGAGATACAGCAAAAGCAGCTCTGTGAGGAAAATTTATCATGTTATAAGCCTACTTCCAAAAGACAGAAAGAGAGTGCATCAATAAACTCACAAACCATCTTATGGAATTAGAAAAAGAAGAACAATCTAAGCTTAAACCCAGCAGAAGAAAAGAAATATCCAAAGTTAAATCAGAGATTAATGAAATTGAAAACAAAAGAATCATTCAGAAAATTAATGAAACAAGGAGTTTTTTAAAAAATAAAATAGATAAACCTTTGGCTAGACTAACTAGAAATAGAAAAGTAAAATCTCTAGTAACCTCAATAAGAAATGATAAAGGGGAAATATGACAGATGCCACAGAGATACAAGAGATTATCTCTGAACACTACAAGAAATTCTGTGCCCAGAAATTTGACAATGTGAAGGAAATGGATCAATATTTGGAATCACACCCTCTCCCTAGACTTAGCCAGGAAGACATAGATCTCCTGAACAGACACATTTCAAGCAATGAGATCATAGAAACAATAAAAAATCTACCAACCAAAAAATACCCTGGGCCAGATGGCTTCACACCAGAATTCTATCAAACATTCAAAGAAGAGCTTATTCTCATATTGCAGAAATTATTTTTAAAATTTTAGGAAGAAGGAATCATCCCCAACACATTCTATGAAGCAAACATCACCCTGATACCAAAACCAGAAAAAGACCAACTAAACAGGAGAATTTCAGACCAATTTCACTAATAAATATAGATGCAAAAATTCTCAACAAAATCCTAGCCAATAGATTACAACTTCTCATCAAAAAAAGTCATACATCATGATCAAGTAGGTTTCATATCAGGGATGCAAGGCTGGTTTAACATATACAAGTTCATAAACATAATTCACCATATTTACAGAAGCAAAAATAAAGACCATATGATCCTCTCAATAGATGCAGAAAAAGCATTTGATAAAATCTAGCATCCTTTTCTAATTAGAACACTGAAGAATATAGGTATAGGTGGCATATTTCTTAAACTGAGTGAAGCCATTTATGACAGACCCACAACTAATATTTTATTAACTGGTGTAAATCTGAAAGCTTTTCCACTTTCAGTGGAACTGGAACCAGACAAGGTTTTCCTCTGTCACCGCTACTATTCAACATAGTGCTGAAAGTTCTAGCCAATAGAAGAAAATAAAGGGCATACAAATAGGAGCAGAGTAGGTTAAACTTTCCCTCTTTGCTGATGATATGAGAACCCAGTACTTATACTTAGAGAATTCCAAAGACTCAACCACAAGGCTCCTGAAAGTGATCAAAAAATAGAGTAATATCTCAAGATATAAAATTAATATCCACAAATCACTAATGTTTGTATATGCCAGTAACAGCCAGGATGAGAAGATAATTAGGGACATAATCCACTTCAGGGTAGCTTCAAAGAAAATGAAATACCTAGGAATATACCTTAACAAAGAGGTAAAGGACCTCTATAAAGAAAATTATGAAGCCCTATAAAAAGAAATAGCAGAAGATATTAACAAATGGAAGAATATACCATGCTCGTGGCTAGGAAGAATCAATATTGTTAAAATGTCTATACTTCCCAAAGCAATCTACAGATTCAATGACATCCTTATTAAAAACATACTATCAAGACTTGGAAAAAACAATTCTTCATTTTGTACGGAACCAGAAAAAAATCTCACATAGATAAGGCAATTCTTACTAATAAAAACAGAGCCAGGGGCATCAGCCTATCAGACTTTAGGCTGTACTACAAGGCCATAGTATGAAAACAGCATGGTATTGGCACAAAAATAGAGACATAGACATCTGAAAATGAATAGAAAACCAGGAGATGAAACAAACATCTTACAGCCACCTGATCTTTGATAAACCAAACAAGAGCATACACTTTGGGAAAGAATCCCTATTCAATAAATGGTGCTGGGAGAACTGGATATCCTCATATCAAAGACTGAAACTGGACCCACACCTTTCCCCACTCACAAAATTTGATTCAATATGGATTAAAGCCCTAAATTTAAGGCATGAAACGATAAAAGTCCTGAAAAAAAGCATGGGAAAAACACTTGAAGATAGCGGCCTGGGGAAAGACTTTATGAAAAAGACTTCCATGCTATTTGCAATGACAACAAAAAATGAACAAATGGGATTTAATTAAACTGAAAATCTTCTGTACAGCTAAGGAGGCAACAACCAAAGCAAATAAACGACCTATAAATGGGAAGGATATTTATTTGCATTTTTTGAATTGAACAAAAGCTTGATAACTAGGATCTACAGAAACTCAAATTAATCAACATGAAAAAAATCCAACAATCCCTTAAATCAATGGGCAAGAAAGATGATTAGAACCTTCTCTAAAGAAGACAGACAAATAGCTAACAAACATATGAGAAAATGCTCATCTTCCTTAATTATTAGAGAAATGCAAATAAAAACCACTCTGAGATATCATCTAACCCCATGGAGAATGGCTCACATCACAAAATCTCAAAACTGCAGATGCTGGTGCAGATGTAAAGAGAAGAGAACACTTTACACTTCTAGTGGAACTACAAACTAATAAAACCTTTTTGAAAGGAAGTATGGAGAACCCTCACAGAACTCAAGCTAGACCTCCCATTTGATCCTGCAATCCCATTACTGGGCATCTGCCCAGAAGAAAAAAAATCCTTTTACCATAAGGACACTTGCACTAGACTGTTTATTGCAGCTCAATTTACAATCACCAAAATGTGGAAACAACCTAAATGCCCACCAACCTAGGAATGGATTGACAAGCTGTGGTATATGTATGCCATGGAATACTATTCAGTCACTAAAAAAGATGGAGACTTTACATCTTTTGTATTAATCTGGATGGAAGTGGAACACATTATTTTTAGTAAAGTACCAAAGAATGGAGAAGCAAGAATCCCATGTACTCAACTCTAATATGAGGATAATTAATGACGTAGCATACAGTGTGGGTTGGGAGAAGGGAGAGCAAAAAGAGGGGTGGAGGGAGAGGTGGGGGTCACAGTGTGTGACATACCTTTTGGGAGTGGGACACAAGTATTAGAGTGACTTTACCTAACAAATGCAATTAATGTAACCTGGTTCTTTGTACCCTCAATGAATCCCCAACAATAAAAATTATATATATATATATATATATATTTTTTTTTTTTAAATGTAGTTACCTTGTCATTTATCAAGTTGCTTTTAGACAGCATACAAATTTAAAATGAATTTTCCAGTAAAATCCATTTTATTGGAATAGAATATAATACTTGGCATTTTTAAGTACAATATCCAGAGACCTTAAAAAACTGTGAAAAGTGGACGCCTAGTCTCCATCCAAGACTGGTTAACTTTGGATCCTGATGGTCAAACCTGGATACTAGTGTTTATTTCAAAGCTCTGCAGGGATTTTAATGCACACAGAGTAGGGAAATGTGGACAGTGGAAGGGGCAGAGGATATACACCTGGGCAGAGTGGTATTCACACCTCAGTGCTGCACAGGAGTAGTTCTCACTTCATTTGTGAGGCCACTGGTGGTTCACTTTTTCATGTTTTCATGAGACTTATAGATAAGCTATCTGAAATACACAGCAGGTAACATCCACTTTAACAATGGCAGACATCATTATTAATGATCTCTTGGCCCTGTGAAAGGTGAGTACTGCTTTAAATGTCTCGGGTGTCTTTCCTGTATTAAAATCAACCCCAAAGTATCTCTTATTACCATCTGTCAGATTAAGTTTTATTTTGAGAGAATTATTTTGTCTAGGATTGAATTCAGAAATCATACCAATATATCGTTCTCTCCTAGCTTTCTATTGTATGACTTAATTGCAATAAAACAGCACCTTATTAAATTGAAAATAACCAAGAAATATTGTTGTTGTTTCAATATTGCCTAACTGAATCTAAGGAAATGCAATAAAATGATCAAAATGAAAGCAAGAAAAATAGAAACTGTTGATGAGAATTGAACTATTTTCCATAAACATTTATATATTCATATCTAAATAGTTCCTTTTTTTTTTTTAGCAAGACCAGAATGCTACACAAGAGAGACTAGTGATCTGATTTTATAATCAAAGACCATGAAGATCCCTTCTGTTGCTATTACCAGAGCAAAAGCGTCATTGTATGTATAAAAATATTAATAGTCTATAGCTTAGAAAAGTGGGAGGTTACATTATTTCCAACTTGAGGTTAGTTTTAACTACCTGTGATGAAAGTCTTGCTGTAGAAATTGTGTGTATGTGTGAGAGAGGAGACAGAGAGAGAGAAAGAAATATTGTTTTATTTTGCCTTATAAACTTCAAAGACTAGGGTTCCACAATGGATATAAACTTTTGACCCTTTTAATATTTATTTATGTAATAAACATTATAATATAAAATATTGTAATAAATAAATATATAAATAGCTTTCCAGAAAACTTAACTTACTTTGTAATCAAATAAGTGCTTAGTTTACTGTGCGTCAAGGTGACATACAAATGAATTTGGCATTGTCTTTGACATCACAGAACTTAGCATTAGACAGGAGATGAAGAGGAAAGCTTGCATTGAATCACGCTTTAATTATCTTGCATAGAGTGCTGTTGCCAGACTTAACGTCTCCATGCCACTAGATTCCATCTCTCCAAATTGAATGTGGCATCAGTGAGCAGGACTGGCTGTATAAATTACATGGTCTCTATATGAATGGAACCAAGAGCACTCACCTCACTGCTAACACTGCATCACTCATTTTTAATAGCTTGAGCATTTTACATGGAATAAATTGGTTTTAATATTACTATGATGAAAGAGGCTGAGTTCCCACCACCTTGGGTGGCAGAGGACCCCTGCACAGGAGAAAACAGCTCTCCTCAGTGAATTCGCTCCTGACAAAAGCTACGAAGGTGGGAAAATACGTTTAAACACTTACGTTTACAAGTAGGCGGCCTCCCTTTGTTGCTCCACAGCCCGTCTTCCTGGCACACTGCGGTGGCTGGTTGACTGGCATCCAGCTTAAAGCCCTCATTACATTCATAGGTCACCTTACCATCCAACGTGAACTCATTACCCGTAAATGAACCATTTCCTGGGGATTCCGGGATTCCACAGGACACAGCTGAAAAGAAATAGAACAAATTCAGCCCTATTCTTGTAGGGAATTGTTTCTATTTATTGGAAATGTAAATTATTAAATTATCATTTTTCCTAGTTTTCATCTAAAATTCTTGTAAGATCATTAATTATATTTCTTGGGGTGTGGCATAAATGTTCACATTTAAAAGTTTTTAAGAATGCTAAGGGTTGATGAGAAACGATGGGAAAGTGCTCCCAAACCACCTTCACAATGTGGATGGCAAGGCTGACTGCTCCCCCATGGCTTAGTGTGACCGTGTGGTCAGGGGAGCATGTTGTCACAAGTGCTGCCTCACTTCATATCGGGATGAAAGTGGGGACATAAAATAGTACCTTCACCATCACATCATTGATTGCCATGTTGACTCCTTGGTGTCAAGATGTGTAGGAGCAACAGTAGCATGAATAATCTCCGCTCATAAACATCTTACACTGTTTCTCTGTTCCTGCCCCTTTCCCATTTTCCTTAAAGCCCAAGGAGGTTCTATTACAAGGTAAAGAACTCACAAGAGATCATCAACACACCTATTATTACAAGCCCAATAGTTTCCAAGTTATCTGTCAGAAAACAGGGTGCAAAGACGTAAGATGCAGAAGGCAGGAAAGAAAGCTCCACCCCCCACCACTGTCCTTCCTACTGAAGACACAGCTCTGTTATTACAAGAAAGACTGTACGAGAGAGAGGCATGCACAAAGAAGACATTTCTTTTTTTTTTAATTTCAGATTAATATGACGGTACTAACAATTAAGTGACATTGTTTGCATTTGTTAATGAAGTCCAAGTAGCCGAGCCCTTCTCCCAGGAGGTGTGCCAGGTAGCCCGCATTCTGCTCATTAGGTGAGAGCTCACCAAGCCGCCCTCCCCCACTTGTGTGGGTGTGTAGTTGTTCATCTACCAGCTTCATATTAATATTTCATGTGTTGGATACTTACTTTTCCATTCTTGTGATACTTCTACTAAGAAGAATGTGCTTCAACTCCATCCAGGTAACTACAAAAGGTGTAAAGTCTTCAATTTTTGTGGCTGCATAGTATTTCATATTTCCGTATACTACAGTTCATTAATCCATTCCCAGAAGAAAATGGAAATCATTTTGCCATAAGGATATCTGCACTAGAACATCTAGGGCAGCTCAATCCACAATTGCCAAGATGTGAAATCAACCCATGAATAGACTAAGACATTTCTTACAAACAAGTATGATGTGGGAGAATTCAGAAGATGCTTTCTTCATAAATCCAGTAGTTCTGATCCAGACATTCTCTACTGTGAGATGATGACACAGTTCTCAAGTGACTACACATTACAATAATGAAACCCAGAGCAGGGCCCTGGCAGAAGATGCAGTTTCTGACAATCACATAACCGCTTCAGACGCACTTACTAAAGAAGAGCTTTGCGATAAATTAAGGGCCTCTTTTAACTCAGTCAATATTAAAGGTATTGTTCACACTGTAGATTTGAATTGAGATAATTTAAACTTTTTCACACAGAGATTCTAATGATAATATACATGTGGCAGAGCTGGAAGAACTGAATGAAAGAAAATTGTGGTCAGAAAGATGACTAGCTAGCCCAGAGAGGCACAGTGACTTTGACTAAGACCTTACCACTCTCTGCTGAGACTATTTTATGTTCTGCTAGGGCTCCACGTTATTGGAATGCTTTTGTCAGTTGTTTTGGTTCTTCTTCAAAATATTAAGTAAATATAATAGGAAATTATCAGAAAAGTAAAGGAAAATTTACTTTACTAATACAATTCGTACTTCTAGAAAATCCAAATTCTTTTTTTGTTTGTTGGTTTGTTTTTTAGAGACAGAGTCTCACTTTGTCACCCTGGGTAGAATGCTGTGGTGTCACAGCTCACAGCAACCCCCAGCTCTTGGGCTTAGGCAATTATTTTGCCTCAGCCTCCCAAGCAGCTGGGACTACAGGTGCTCACCACAACACCTGGCTATTTTTTGGTTGCAGTTTGGCCGGGGCCGGGTTTGAACCCGCCACCCTCTGTATATGGGACCAGCACCCTACTCACTGAGCCACAGGTGCCACCCTAGAAAATACAAGTTCTAAGAATTCAGTTGTGTTTAAATTTATGTATGCCTAGATATTTTAACCATCAGAGATCTACACACACATACATGCATATATTACATACCACAATAATCCATTTGTAGCAGAATGATGAAAAACCATAGGTATATAGGCATCATTTTAGGCACAGCACTTAAAAAGCATAAATAATAATCTTTGCCTTTCCAAAGCCATGACTTGGCTGAAGCAACATATCCATGAGAAGATGGCTTAGCATTTGGAAAATGTTCATTTTAATTCACTGAACGCAGGGAATGCAATAGATTTTGTTGTTTTTGACTGTTTGTCTCACAATGTTCCAGTATCTAGCTTTCTTATTACTTTCCCTCCTATTTTGCTCAGATAATCTTTTGTTCATGCTCACAAACCCTCATTTCTTTTCCGCTCCTTGAAGCACATCCAGTGTTTGGCTTCCTTAAAATTGTTATTTGGGGTGAGCAGAGAATGAAATGACATTTCTCTGTCAGGTTAAATGGGAAAGATGGGATCCCACAAATGCATCTGAAGCCCTATAGTAAGAGGATTCATACCCAAGAGGCCAACATAGGAAGCTTTATAGCTACTTCTGTTAAATCTGGAAGCACATCCAATAGTCCACCATGGTTCCAAGGATTGAAGAAACCACCTTAATATCAACAAATGGAAATCTTTTGGGGGATGTTTTAAGCTATATCTTTTAATTTCTAAGTGTTTCATATAAAGGTTATTGAAGGGATTTAAAACAGAGGTTGGCAATCTATCAAAAATGAATTTATGACTCCTCTGATTCAAAGAAGATTAGTTAGCATAAAGCTCATAGACTAAATTCAGGTTCATGTTTCCTACTAAAGTCTAATATTATTTATCTATTTATTTATTGTCCCAATTTTGCATGATTGCTATGTAACCAACATCATAGATCACTTTTTTTTAAAAAAAAAAAAATGACATTATTGGCATTGCATGAAACTTTTGAAATTTGGTGAATTTTCTTAGTTTTGGTATATCTAAAGAGAGTAAATCTTCTTGGTTGTTTTTTCTTTATTGTACCACACATATTTCTCAATTGCTTAGAAAAATGATCTCTTAATTGTCCTATAAAATTATCTTGTTTCCAAACACATGCTTTAAAGTCAGACCTCTGAATTGGTTCTTGTTGCAGACTTTCACTAATGGTATGGCTTTAGTTAAGTCATGTAGTGAACATTGTCTTGTTACTCTCAATTTACTGATGCACACATCAACAGGTAACTGTAAGGGTTCAGTAAGATCAAATGTACAAACAGCACTCTGTTGGCATAGGTATTCAATAAATGAAAAGTTATTATATGTAGAAGATTATTATTTTCTCAAGAATGTAAGTACACCTATTTCTTTTGCAAATAAAGATAGGAGTGACAAGGATCAACTTATCTTAATCTATTTATTACAGTTACAAACTCATGGGGGGAGTCAAAGACAAATAAAATCAAACACTGCTTGGGGGCTCAGCCCAGAGTGATGTGACTGATTTGTAGAGAACAAAGAGGAAATCATTGGGAAGATGGCTTATTTCTTTTCATGTACATCTCATGACAGATTTAACATTTTGGTTCCAATAAAACGTAAGTAGAAGAGACACTCCAATGCCCAGCGCTGCCTGGTCCTTTCATACTATGGGCCTGGGTGAGGTTTATTCTTTGCATATTTAAGACCAATAAAACAGTGATCATCCTCATTTCTGAAGGTTCAGAAGACTTCTCTGACTTATTTCATATGATTATTCTCTGTAACAACAATGGTTCATTTTCTTTCTGCTGCCTCTCAAGTTTCAACACCTTATCATTTGCTTTGCTCTTTTTCCCCCTTACTATTGTTCATTTTTCTTTCTTTCAAAAAGCTCGGTGAGGTTTTGACTGTTATCTTCAGTTTTGTGATTCTCAGATCTCACTACTCCCTCAATCCATCTTCTACAAACACGGCTGTGAGATATGATATACCAAGGTTATGAAGCCTTACCAAGTTGTTTGTACAGTGCTGCCAACATGAGCGTACACAGGTTTGTGTACTTAATTGCCAGACCTTGTAAGACAATGGATCTGATGGTCATTCCAGAAAAAGAGTTCCAAAATTGCTTTGAAGGGCAGACTAGGCGCTGGTGTCAGAGCACAGGTTCCAAGGAGAGCACTTCCACTTCAAAGTGGCCATACTGATATTCAACAATGAGGCATGTAGCACTCTCTCTAGGGTGAGTTCATGAACTTAATTGTCTGACCCCATAAAATAGTGATGTAGCCAATTTATCAAATTCTATGAACTTCTGAGCATATGATTTTTTTTATTGAAACCTGTACATGTATATGAGTACTTATATATATATGTGCCCATATAAACATTAGTCAAAAATTATATCAGAGTGTTCTATATTCCCATCTACACCTGGGTTCTACTATATAAATCTGTGCCAGTCAGTTAGTAACTCAAAGGCTCAACTGGCTGGTACTCATGCTCTTTTTTTTTTTTTGCGTTCTTCCCCTCTACCCAAAATGTTCCCTTCCTTTGGCACCTGTATAATCCTACTCTAGAATAGAAAATTCAATGAGTCCGGATCTCATTTGATTGCTTGTATTTTTTTTAACTTAGTGTTTAAATAAAAATTGTCCTTTACAAAGTAATATGTAACTGTACTTTTAACACTTGTCTGCATCAAATTACCTTGTGCACAGTCTTCTTAAAATTACTAGTCACTTTGTTTTAAATATCAATTCTGCTTCAACAGATCTCTCCCTTCTGCTGTTCCTGAGAACATTAGTAAGAACCTTGCTTGTGGGCAGATGCTCATCAGAAATACCTTGTGATCATTACAACATTCATTATCAACACTCCTGATACATGAAAATTCATTACTTAATTTTCCAATTAACATGACCAA